CCATCCTGCATATCAGACATTTACATTACGATTCATAACAGTAGCAACATTACAGTTATGAAGTAGCAACGAAAATAATTTTATGGTTGGGTCACAACATGAGGAACTGTATTTAAAGGGCCAGAAGGTTGAGAACCACTGATATAAAGTGTTATGTTCCATGGTTACATTGGGGAGGGGGCACAGTATTATCACAGCCACTTGGGTATCTTGCTCAGTAAGGGTCTCCCATTCAACTGATGCTATTCTATGTGCAAATCTAGGCATTCCTGAACTATTTGAGAGTGACATCATTCCTATCATTGGTTGGCTTTGCCCAAGTCTGAACGATTTCCCTGACACCACAGCTCTCATCAACGGCTTTTCTATAGGCTTGGCCAAGTGCGCCAACCAGCACCCATTTGGCTCTCAGAGTGCCTCCAGCGACCTGGTATTACCAGTCGCCGTGGCTATTTATTTTGGGAAGTTGCCATGTTTAAAAAAAAAAGAGTCTGGCATTCAGGTAACTGTTCAATAACAAACATGCTTTGCAATCATATTTCTTTAAAAAATAGATGCATTTTTTTAATCATGAAAAATATATTGCTTCCACCATATGGGACAACCAACGACTCGCCGACCGATTTAAGCGGCAGCATATTGAGCTGACCATATGTTACAGTGCTGCGGAATGGCTGAGTGATTCATGCCCGTCACATTCTAGTATATCAATTAAAGCTCCTTGAAGTCTGCATGATTTGTGTCTCTGTTATTAAACCCTGCTAATTCATCCCACTTACACATCTGTTATAAATCTCGAGGAGTGCGGCATGATTCATGGCAATCTGGGAGCAAATTCTTCTCCTTGTAATTAACAGTAAATTGTTTTACTGCCATGCGATGAATTTTTCAGTTATATTGCAAATGAACTCCTAAATGTGCGGTTCTTGCCGAAGAACCGACTTATATCATTAGGCAATTAAAAAGTATTGCTCTGAACCAAAAGCTTTTAATCAAGGGAGATTCAACTTGAACATCGCTGAAGAGCGGTGGAATCTGACGCGTGGGGAAAACTGTAAAGGCATTTCTGGTGTTGAAAGGGCAAAACATACAAACAAACCAGATCCCTTCCTGCTGCTGGGGATGTCGCGGATGCTGAGGGCTGCCTGAGCACCTGGGCCAGCATCCTGCGCATCTCGCAGTTCCTGAAGAGGAACTGCCATTCCCAGATTTCTCCGGTTGCCTTCCACGCCTCTCAAGAAAACGCTGCCTGGATTCTTGGAATAAATAATTGGATAATTAGCCCCGTTGAATCATCAGAGGATTCCGGTGCTGTTGGAGTGTTCTTGTCAAAGGTGAAGCCAATTCATTTCGGCTCCCTCTGCAGCTCTTCGCAGAGGCTGTGATTTTAACACCCGCCACCCCCCTCCCCCCGTTTCCCGGCAGCAGCCTCAGATTCATGAGTCCATACATCAAGTCGGTAGTTTAACAACAAATGGAATTAAATTCAAAGAAGGGAAACTAATTGAAGGACAGCAACAGAAGTGTTTGGTAATGTGCTTTTTAATATGGCACGCCGCATTTGCATGATAATTTTTTCCTTTTTAGCGTGGAGCCGAAAGTGACTGGCTTAATGAGGGATTATTCAAGACAGGAGCGAACCAAATGCATTCATAACTCAGAACAAAGATTGTATTATGAAACAAAAAGCAGTGGCGACCTCACAGAAGTAACAGGATGATTGGTTTATGCATCATGAATAAAAAGATAGAAAAATATTTATATTGGTATTCACTAATGACTATATGTACAAGATTGTTGTAATTAAAATTATAAATTAACATATTAAGAGTGCTTGTTTAATCACTCTGGGCCCTATTCGCAGTGAAAAGACTTAGGTACCTGCATGCAAAACAATGTGTGTTTTCAAGCCAGCAGCCAAGAGCCTGTACATTTTACTTTGGATTCAGAGAAAAAAGCTTAATGCACCACTAATTACTTGCTTAATGGGAGATGGGCTCATCTGAGCTCGCGGTGCAGAGGTCAATTTCTGACGGCAAAGGAAAGAGCAGTGTCCCTCCAGGACCGGATCTCCCAAAGAAATTTTTCTTTAAAAAAAGGTTTAAAGTGTACTTCATTTGCAAAGGATAGAGATGCACAGATTTCCTCCATTAAAAGGGTAATTCTCAAGGATAACAAAGACTCTAAGAGGGTTCAGTCCGAAGCTTATTACCCTCGAGCCCTCAGAAGTAACTCCAAAGCCAGGGCTCAAATCGCCTGAAGATTTTACAATGGAGACAGAAGCAGCCGCTCCAGGGAGAACCCCTCCCTCAAGTGGGATCCCAGGCTTTGCCCTGGCACGAAAACTAGAGGAGTAATGATGGAATATTCTAAATGAAACACACCAATTCTAAGCCTTATCGAATTGAAACACACACACACACACACACACACACACACACACACACACACACACACTTGAAGCACAAGAAAGCAAGTTACAATTCTCAAGCCTTTAATGAAACGGTCAGATAAATCTTTACAAGTGTCTTTCTCATTTATCTGACTGAGATTTAAGGAAGACACATTTTCATGATTTGCTGGATACTACTTGCGATTTTTGGTACTTTTTAAAAAAAAAGTTTGTAAATGTGTTTGGCTTCTTTTGACCTCCAATAATGAGCTCATATGAACTGAATTTAGATTTACAAGTGAAATTTGCCCCCAAACCACCGGAATTCACTGGAGTAATATATATCCTCCAAATTGCCATTTTATTACTAGAAGACAACATACAGGTGAAAGTCAACTTTCAGTCCTTTCCTATGTCAAACCTGTTGACTATTCTAAAGGCTTGACTTTCCCATTGTTGAGTTGTATATCTTAATATCTGTGCTACATGCAGAGTCTAATCCAGCCGTGGGCAAACTACGGCCCGTTTGAAATGAATAAAACTAAAAAAAAAAAAGACCGTACCCTTTTATGTAATGATGTTTACTTTGAATTTATATTAGTTCACACAAACACTCCATCCATGCTTTTGTTCCGGCCCTCCGGTCCAGTTTAAGAACCCACTGTGGCCCTCGAGTCAAAAAGTTTGCCCACCCCTGGTCTAATCTCAAGACAAGTTTTAGGAAGAACCACAGAACTCGCTGCAGCCACTGTGGTTGGTGGCAGCACAGACATCATGGCTGCACTGAGTGGGGGGGACTGGGTTTCAAGGACATGTTTCCTGCTTTACTCTTTGCAGGCCCAGGGGGTGTCTAGTCTCTAGGGACAGGCATGTCTCCCTTCAGTTCCTTTAGTTTGCGTCTCCACTCAGACGGCCAGGGTCTTATCTGGAAGACAGGGCCTGTGCACACAGCACCCGAGAACAGGCATGCGAGCTGCATGTGGGAGCCGCCTGGGAATGTAGCCTGAAGGAGAGGAGGCTGGGGCAGAGGCACTGTTATGGAAAAACTTATTGCAAGTGATGTCATGAGGAAGAGAAACAGACTGAGGACAGTGCCCCGGGGAGTAGAAAAAGAATGTTAAATAGAAGCCTCAGAGAGATCGCTCAGATCAATATAAGAAAACACCTTTTAGAAGAGGTGTGTGACTTGCCTGAGAGGTAGGAGCTGCCCTACCACTAAAGCTATCAGACTGTTGGACAAACACTTGGGAGGGATGTTATAAAGAATATATTATTAGCCCGGCAGGTGTGTCAGGGTTGAGCGTTGACCTATGAACCAGGAGGTCAAAGTTCAATTCCAGGAAGCACCTAGCTGAAATGCATGTAGATGAAATATGACTGGACTATAGATTAAATATATAAAAGTACAGAGTCCTGTCATAGAGATAATAAAACATAATTTCTTGGAATTTGGGAGTCGTTCTCATGGATGGAAAATTTGAAGAAACACAAATTCCTTGGATGAGATTCATTTGAACCCAATGAGGTTTACCAGAATGAAAACAAAATAAGACAACAGACTCGAGAACTGGACCTGAAGACAGGAAGAGGGTCTAGGCTAGGGAATGTTTTGTAGCGGAATGTTTGTGCACCATCTGTCATTCATGTCGGAGACTTTTCCACTCACAGCAGGACATTTTCTTAAGGAGCCCCAGGAAACCAAGCCTTGTTGGGCGGCTGATGGAAAACTGATTTGAAAATAGACTAAATGCCCTGTAATTGTGTTATCCAGGTAATAATACAGGTAATCATGTTTGTATTGAGTCTGTTTTTTTCTAAGTAAAGCAAGTAAATATATATACAAACCACTTCCTACTATGATCATAGTGGACAAGTCTTTACTTTTTATAAACTTAGCTCATTCTTATGAATACTAAATAAATTAATAAATACGCCACTGTCTATCCAATAAAGGCAAAATATACCACCAGCAGGGCAGCCTGGTAATTCCCGGATGTCTGCCTCTGGTTCCCTAACAGAGCAGTGAGTAGACCCACCCCACAAAAAAGGTCAAGACCGAGGGACGAGATAGTCTGAGCCCTCATAAGAAGCCTCCTGCCAGGCTGGTGTGTCTCAGTGGTTGAGCATCAACCTACGAAGGAGGTGGTTACAGTTCCATTCCCCGTCAGGGCTCAATCCCTAGTGGGGAGTGTGCAAAAGGCAGCCGATCAATGGTTCTCTCTCATCACTGATGTTTGTTTCTCTCTCTCTCTCTCTCTCTCTCTCTGAAACCAATTTTAAAAAAAGAAGAAGAAGAAGGCCCCTGAATACGTCTAACAATTGTCAGGGCATTGCCAGGACCTGGGATGGTGGCTGAGCCCTGGGGCTTTTCTGCACTTACTTCTATTTCTTATTTTGATAACAGCTGCAACTCAGGACTCCTAGGCACCTCTTACACTTGTTTATTTTTCTGGTTAAAAAGGCAAAGGTAGTAGCAATCAGGATGAGTGAGGGAGCAGGAGAAAGCAAAAGACAAATATGAAGTGCAAACGGGAGAAGGTGTTGAGCTTTGTAGGTGTTCGTTTATAAATACACAGTATATTTTTCATGGCCGTGGAAACTGGCTTACCTGCTGGCAACGTCTGCCCTGCTCCCGAAGCACTGGTTACACAACCAACTGAATTGCAGAGGGAGACAGTAAAGTTGTAGGTCCTGTAAGGTTTCAGTCCACTTACAATATAGGACAGCTGCTGGGGTTCAGTCCTGGCCAACACCTTCCAGGCAAAAAAAAAAAAAGTCAGATAGTAGATAATCTGTGTGAAAAATATCACCTTGGCCGTCCAAGTTCCATGAATTCAAACAGAATTCAATCACTCTTAGGAGAAGAGAATTTGTTGGAAGAGTCTCAACAAGCAAGGGTTTAATTGATAATCATCCAATCACACTGTTTTATGGGGTGATAATGCAGTTCCTGAGTGGATAAGTGAGGAACCCACATTATTGCCCCATAAAGCAGCGTGGCGGTATGGTTATTGTCTCTGATGGTAAAGATAAAGGATGGTGACACTGTCATTGTTATCATGAAAAAGTCCAATTAAAACCATAGGGCTTGGCCAAAGCTACCCCCGCGCAGCAATGCCCACATGCTATTTGATGGAGATGGTACAGAAAGATGTCACTTTGCTAAATCAATCCCATCATTTTCTTTAAAACAAAACAGAACAACACAAAACAAAAAATAAACACATTACTGAGCAGCCACATGAGGTCAATTCTCAATTATCTTTCTTATGCAAATAAACACATATGCATTAGATCAAACAGTTATATTTTTTGAAATGGTGTCTTTATCACACAGTCTCCGATGAAATAGCAGATATGAGCAAAGGAGACGGGGAGGAACTCCCTAGTCCATAAACAAGTAATTAAATAACCAACACTGAGAGTTGGGCCCGTCATTCTAACTAGAAATGATCAAAGCATCCATGTAAATTTGCTTGGTCTGTAGACACAAAGAACCACTGGAAATTATACCGAGAAAAAAAAAGTCATTGAAATGGAGAGTATAACAATAAGCATGAGTAAGTACAAAACTGTTTCTGCTAAGGATTGGTGATAGAAAAAGAGATCACAAAGTCTTTCATAAATACAAATACATTCCATAAATATGAAAACTGTAAAGGTTAGTCATATATTCAGGGATTTTCTACATATTTTCCCTTTAGAAGTACAATAAAATTCATTTGGAATATTTGCTTGAGTCTTGACTTTAAATTTTTATAACCTAGGTGAGTAGTTCTAAAAAACAGTGTGATTAGAATTTATTTATTTTTAAAAATCTATTTTTATGATTTTTTTTTATAGAGAGGAAGGGAGAGAGAGAGTTAGAAAAATTAATGAGAGAGAAACACCCTACTGGGGATTCAGCCTACAACCAAGGTACATGCTCTTGACTGGAATCAAACCCAGGATCCTTCAGTCTGTGGGCCGATGCTCTATCCATTGAGGCAAACCAGTAAGGGCTAGAATTTAAATTACATCATTTACATACGGTTTCAGAAATAAAGGTGATTTTAAAGTATCTAAAAATGGGGGAATAATTTAAAACTGTGGAACCATTTCATTGCAATTACATTTAGAAATCAGGAAAACAACAGACACTGAATTATTAATCCTTTCTCTCTCTCATTATAAATGGTTATTAAGGATATAATTGAGGATATAACTTTTACCGTTTTTGCCACATGACTTAAAATTTTCTAAATAAAATACAACTTAAAAATGGGTAAAACTTACTTCACATAGCTATAAAAATTTATCCTGTTTAGAACAGCCTGGTGTTATTGATGTAGATTTTTGGAAAACAAAATTGTTTTTAGTATAAAATATGTTAAGGTGTATGTGTCTTCTGTATTCTCTCATGTTCTGGGAGAGCACACCCCAGGTCTGGGAATGCTGTTCCAACCACGGTGCCAAATCACGGGGAGGCCGCCAGCACCCAGAGGAGGACAGGACCCGGATTTGTTGCAAGCAGACAGACCAACCACTTGGGACATGAAGCCTCGCAGATGCTATGCTACCAGAGGTGACTGGAGTGGGAGACGGTGCTATGAGACCCTGCAGCAAGGCCACAATAAGAGAATCACAAGGTGGACACCTGGGTGTGGAGCAAAGACTTATCACAGGATGGAAACCACATACCGTTTGCTAGAGCTGCTAGCATGCGATTGGGCCTCAGAAAAAGAGAACTGAGTAAGGAACATTAGCTGGCCATGCAGCCAAAGCTACTCCTCATGAGCTTTGTGGGACATGCCAAGTCTTAAGGTCGGGTGCGCCTAACAGAAATTCATCATCAAATGGAAGTGGTATCGGGAAATGGACATAAGGCACAACATGCTGGGCAAGCAGGTAGTCCAGCCCCCATGTCATCCATCATTCTGGTGACTCAATCTCAGCTCATACTCAGGACTCCTTGGAGGTCTCCTACAAGCTGAGAGAGGAGAAAAATGCGGTTCGGTTCATAAACGGGTTGTCTTAGTATGTGGTTGCAAGTCAAAATGGGCGAAGGCTGCTCTGTAGCCACATGTAGGGATGGTCCTGAAAACCAGCAGCAAGAAGATATCCTCTCCATGGGCAGATCCTCAGGCAGTGTACCTGGTCCTCCACTCTGTGTGCAAAGGGAAGGGACCGAGGTAGCTACACCTGGACCATATGATGGTGGCTTGGTTGTATGGGTCCTGACATCAAAGCAAAAAGACTGGAAGATGAGGTACCAGAAGTCTGGGGGAGAGGAATGTGGGTAAATTAATGGGAGAGGCATCACATGAAAAGACCTTTTTGTCACATTAATCCCTTTCAAAGAGCATCTCTGTCTGCAGGTAGAGGTGCTACACGGCCCAGTATGCAGTGACTTGTCCAGTTGACACTAGCCAGTCTCTGTCATTGGCCACCCTCCTGTTGATCAAATGGATTGTACCCTGGCACAACCATACACTGTGGGCTAACGTGAGCCTCCCATCCCTAAGCTTGTTTATATGCGTATATCTATCCAATGAATTAAACCAGGTACATAGTAAAGACCCAGTAGCTGTCAGCAATGATTATGATTCTCATTACCGCTAGCTGGAGAAGGAAATACAACAAGGCAACAGGTCAATATCCACCCCGAACTTTGAACATCATAACCTTTATTATAAGCTGTGAGAAATTCCACTCCTCAGATTTTTTTCCAAGGAAAGAGAAATATGCAAAATGCACATTAAATGTTCTTATTAATGTTATTTATATTTCCAAAATAATTTATACAATACTAATATCAATTGATTTTGCACTGGTTAAAAAAATTATTGTATGCCCAAATACTATGATAGTACATAGCTACTGAAAGTCAGCTTCTTACAAAACTTTTAAGGATAGATATTAAGTGAGAAAAGTAGATTTCATTAAACAGAATTATACAAACTTAGTTTTAAAATATGCTTATATTAGAAAACATAAGGTACATAAATAGAAGAGCTTTGTACATGTCACATTACATTAGGGAATAAATGCCCCATTTAAGCAATGTCTAAGGAAGAATTCTGTCACTGAATTCTGCGAACTCAGAAAATGTCAAACTGAAGATATAATTCAATTGTGAAAGGACACAGTGTGGAAATAACAATACCTGTGAAAACACCACCAGAGCAGGTTGTTGAGGCGACTGTTCAGAAATCATATTGATCTCATATCCCACAACATCTCCTCGCGTAACATTATCGGCCGGCTTCTCCCAGGACACGTTGAGAGAGTGTGGTGAGAGGGGGGAGACCGAGGGAGGGGCCATGGATATAGGCTCTGTCGAGGGCAACAATGACAATAGTGAAACCATGAACGCTGTACTCACAGGCTTTCCAAACCGAGTCCCCACATTCATTCAAGTTTCTGAAATACCTCGGGTTTTTTTTTACATAATATTTCTGTTGTTAAAAATCAAAGAGTATACTGCTGCATATAAAAACTATTCATTTTTTACATGTTATCTGCAAGGATGTCCTCCAATTTCATATTACCAGCAAAGATGTTTTCCATTTATAAAATAAAAATAATCTAGGAGTTTGACTGTGTTCATAAAGATAACTCGTAGATAATTAGGTGGGAAACCATAGGTCTTATAAAGTATTTGGGAAAAAAAAAGAAGAACATGTTCAATAAATCTTGATTGAAACGTGCAGGGTACATACACACATACATTCTCCCCTTGCCATCCTTGAGATCTTAATGCGGATTTTAAATGTGCTAACCAAAGGTGTATTATCAAAGGACCTCATCACACTTTCATTAGCCAGTGACCCATAAGATTACGAGGGTCCGGTGATGCGGCTTCACCCATTACTTTTCATTTCTGACCTTGACTTTCCCCTTCCTGAACGCCATGGCTCATCACCTGTGCTATCTTGGCACTGTTATTTGTCCAAGATGGCTGGCACAATGCACATTTTATTCATGAAATGATTCCCTTGGACATCAACCTACAGCTACCCTTTAGCCTCCACAGTCCTAACAGGGTCCACGTTAAATCAGGACTCGGGTTTCTTCGGATATCCATGAATTAATTCAAAGCATAGCAGAAGCATATTTTTTTTTTATTTTGGTAAAGACTCATAACATGTGAAGTGTTTTTTATGTAAAGAGTAAAGTGGAGAATTAAAAATATCTCATTTGCCTTAGGAAAGGTTTCTTTAAAAAATTTAAAAAGATTTTTCACCCTCCTTCTTTTCCATATTGCCAACTACTCATTCAAGCACACTCGTGAATTACGTATTCTGAAATCCAGGATTCTGTCATTTGGTGTGATCTAGTAGCTCAACTATTTGTTTTGGAGAGAGAAATAGAACGGAAGCAGAGTTGTGAGGTCTGCAAGGGGATCTCCTTCATTGAACATGAACTGTGCTGAATCTGGAGCAAGATGAGAACATATGGCCAGCCCGCTTCAGGACTGGAGACCAACTGCTACTTTGCAAACATTCCTAAAAGGCTACTACTTTAGTTAAGTCATTTCCCCCCCTCCCCTTGAAATAATAACTAAAGCATTTTCCCCCTAAAACGTTTCAAGTTCTTTATGACCTTGAGTTATCCATGTAACCAACGTTTTCCCTTGGCTTATGTAAGTTGATAATTCTTACTCTAGTGCTGTGGACTTTAATTGGAGGCAATATTTTCATTCAGGAGTTTTAAAAGTAGAATTCAGAGCTTGACCTTCACCTGATTCTCCTGTCCGTCCTGAGGCCCAGGGGGAAGACACGCTGCCGGCCATATTCCCAGCCCAGACTCTAAACTCATATGCAGTGTAAGGCTCCAAGCCAGGGACGGTTGTGGCTGCCGGAGGGGGTTTCAACGCATTTTCACTGGCCGACTCTGCCAACGGGCGAGGACTGAGCCAGCCGCTGCTCTCAAACACTAGACTTTCTGCTGACGTGGGTTCACCATCAGATCTCAATCTTCTCATGTAGAGTTCATACCTTGCAATTATTCCTAGAAAAGAAAAACAGGAAGCCAAGATGATTCATCAGTCAAACAGACTATTTGGGGGGTAGGGTGGAGTTAAATCAGTTAAAAATTATAACATTTTTCAGGATGAATGGTTATAATTTCTACTAAGAATCGCTTTTTCTTTATGGAAATTTTATCAGCATACTTCCAATTTATATATTTCAAATTTGGAGATTTTAATTTGGCTATCTGTTTAACATAAGGCCTGTTTGCATAAATATTAGAATATTATAGTTGACTTCCACCTAGTTTTATCAAGTAATTTTAAAAGTCTAAGAGAAAAAAAGGTTTTGCCATAATACGTACATGATATTAAATTACTAAAAATTTATGAAAGTATGTCTGGCCTATATAACAGGGTTCAATTGTATGAACACAAAAATTAACTTAATGGAGTCAGCTAGCCTATATACATATTTTTTGTATTACTTTATATCCTTTTTTAGGCCTAAAAGAGAAAATTTACTGCTTAAGGGTGCCCTAACTTTGTGACACAGTCAAATATAATGCATTTTGTAAGTGAGTTTTAAATTAGAAACATAATTTGTGTTGTGGCAGATGTCATTAAGAGCAAAGATAATATCAGCCTTTTAAGGGGCAATTTAAATGAATGGAATTTGTTATTAGATTAAAGAAATACACTTGTGCTACTAACCAGGACAAATAGTATCTAACATCGTGAGAGATTGTTTCTCAATTATTATATCTTGCAGTTATAAAAAAAACGCATGGGATTGCGAGACACTCTTGCACAATTCCAAATTCCTTAGATTCTCACTCAGGTCTGGCCCAAGCAAGTGAAATCTAGGCCTGGAGTTCCTACCATTCGGTTCCATCGGCGGAGCCCACTCTACACGCAGTTCTGTGGAACTGATGGCCAGCACCACAGGGGGACCCAGCCCTCGAGGAGGAGCCTGGGCTGTGGTCACGGTTACGGGCGAGCTGTGTAAACAGCCCCCACTGGTACAGGCCTGCACGGAAAAGCGGTACTCGGTGAAGGGAAGCAGATTCCAGATGGTAGCCGTGGTTCCGCCACCTTCATGGGGAACGCAGGGCTGGGCGTCATCGAAGGGAGCACAGGACAGGAGATACTTCTCTACAGGGCCAGTGCGATTGGAGGCTGCCGTCCAGGTAAGCGTCACCGAGTCCGAGCCAACAGGGATGACATAACTTAAGTTCAAGGTTCCCTCTGGGACCCCCGGCCTTGTCCTGTAGGCGACAACTGCACTCCTCGTCGAACCCTGAACACTGGAGGTCTCGACGGAATAGGAATAGGAGGTATATGGCAACAGGGCAGTGTCTAAGAAGTCCTGGATGTCTGAAATTAAAAGAAGAAAATGAGAAGAAAATAGTTACATTCCGCAAAACTGGTGAGGAAATCATTTCTACTGGTTCTCTTAAGAAGTCCTGGATGTCTGAAATTAAAAGAAGAAAATAGTTACATTCCGCAAAACTGGCGAGGAAATCATTTCTACTGGTTCTCCTATTATATGACTTAATGACATGAGCTATACCAATCCACTCTGTATGAAGAACAGTTAGGCACCAGAAGGTTTTCTTGTTGTTTGGCTCATCCTCACACAGGGATATTCTCCCACTGAGTTTTAGAGAGAGTGGACGGAGGGGGAGAGACAGAGAGAAACATCCATGTGAGATGACACACCAGACCCTGACCATGCTAGCACCCTGACCTTGGACCTCTGGCCTGGAGAGCTTGAAGTAATACATTTCTGTTGTTTATAAGCCACCTGGACTGTGGCATTTCTCTTTAATAGTAGCCTGAATGGACGAAGACAGTGAACATCTGAGTGAAGGGTAAATCTGCCGTTCTTCATGTATGTCACTGCAAGTTCCGCACGAAAATATGTTGATTACTGCACTAGTCCAATCAGGACACAGAAGCCACGGAGTAATTTTGCTTTACTTTTCCATCTCCCCTCTCAATCATGAGAACTATCCTTTTCATCTTTGTGTTTCTAGTGGCTCATACAGTTCCTGTTCTGGCCTGAGCACTGAATAAAAGTTTACTGAATGAGTATATGAATGAATGGATAATTTTCCATATACACTGATTTATTTTTCTAGGCAATAATATTAACAGCCTTATAGAAACAACTGTTCTTTATTCTCTCTTTTGTGTTCATATCCCCTCCCTATGTTTTCTGTTTGTTTTTCTCAGAGGAACCATCTTATCACTTGTTGCTTTGATCCTCTGATGCAGTATGGGATAATAAATTATGTGATATTAAAGGTGGACATGAAAACCTAGGATTCACTAAGATACATCATTGTCTGAAACTCTAAACTTTCCATTATTGTCAAAGTAATCATGTTCTAGTTTCCCCGTGGAAGCGTTTACCTAGAGTAACATTTAAGGACTAGCTCCCTACCCATTCCAAATGAGAAATGATTTAACTTATTGTGAATTGGAGGGGAGGGAAGGGAGAGGAAAAGCATGCTCCCATCAGCCCATTGAGTCTTTTGTCTTTCTTCAGCACAGAAGGTATATTCTCCAATCTGGCTTTTATTGTAATAAAGATGATTTTTATTTTAAATTTCCATCTCCCTGATTCTTAAGCCTAGTTCTCCTTCAGTTTCAAACTGAAGTTGGAAAAACTAATGTGATGTACTACCCAGCCTAAAAATGTCAATACTACTAAAAGAGTGCAATATCCTGCAATAGCTTTTCTTGTCACATCTATGACACAGAAAATACCCATGTGCAACCCAGACTGGGGCTGCAGGGAGGTGATACTAGGTGCTAATTATGTATAATTCCCAATATGCTAACTTGACTTCTACACCTCTCTCTTCTACTTATGAAAGCTCACAGGTATGTACATGAGTGAATTTTTATTTAGGGAAACCACTGACTATACCTTACCTTATTTTTTAAAAGTTAATTCAGAAACTTTAAAACTATCCCACTATTATTAGCATGCTATTACTAATAACCAATGACCTGCAGGCTCTAAAAGTAGTAATATACCAGCTGTCATGACCTTAGGTTGGAAACTAGTGACCCCACAGTGCAACAGGGCAGCTAGGAAAAGTCTTATTCCAACAAGGAATTCTACAATGGTCTCAACCAAATGTTCAGACTTGCTTGGAAGAGATTATTAATTTTCTTTGAAAAGTTCAATGACTCTGCACCTGTAATTCCAAATGCCTTCATTTAACCCAAAGATCTGTATTCATCTGACTGAATATAAGTACTGTTTCCTTTTCATATTACACATGCTAGCCACACACTGGAACGGAATAATAAACACGAGAATATTGTTAAGTGATACAAAGTTCTGACAGCCCTAACCAATTGTTCTTACTGTTCAAATGCCATCATGCAGATAATTGTCCCATCATTAATTATAGTGGCTGTCAAGAAATGCCAGAAGTGGTATTTTTTTAATGAAAAAAATAAGGTTTTAGGAAAGAATACCTTGTATAATAGGATTATATAAATGTCTGATTAGTGAATGAGCACACATTTATTATGTAAGAAACTGTTATTTGGATTCTACTATAATAGTGCAATCATGTAAAAGAGCCGGAGTGTTTTACTCAAATGCAATGTTCTATAAAACACATCACAATATTTTATGGTGAAAAATATGCCTCTGGACAGAATGCTGTAAGCGAAGTTGGATATCATTACTGAATTAAGCTGTATGGGAAACTGGGTGACCCTAATTCACCACTTCAGCAATAGCTCAAGCAGCGGTACTGTCATCTTCAAAACCACTTTCAATATTTCTGTGACTCCCTCCGCCCCTATCAAAAAAGTTTAAGTTTCAGGACACCTGGGTCATGCTGATATTTGGAAGAAAACAAACATTCTAGTAGCAGGATATCAGGATGCTCTGCCAGTGTGGCAGATGTAGACAGATGTTCGCTTCCCTCTGCAATCTGCATCGTGAAGCTCAGGGTTCCCATTAACTTCCAAGAAGGCGTGGAGTGCTGAACAGACAGAGTTATCAGAAAGTCCGGACGTTATAATGCAGGTGCAAGTCACTCAGAATTAGGTGTGACATGTAACCCTTGGTAATATATACAAAATAAAACCATACGCGATGCAAAATTTTTAAAGCCAATCAACATGTTAAAAAAAAGGCACCCTCCTGATCATTTTGAGGAGGATTATGGAACTATAGAATTTCTTCATTGCTCTGTAGACTTTTCTAATTGTAAACGTTAACCTAGACTTTGGAAAATCAGGCATTAAACCAAGAGAACAACATGAGTTGGCATCCTGTTGCCATGTTTCTTTTTAAAAAATATTTTTTATTGATTTTAGAGAGAGGGAGAAGGGAGAGAAGAGAGAAACATCGCTTGGCTGCCTCCTGCATGCCTCCCACCAGGGTACAACATGAGTTGGCATCCTGTTGCCATGTTTCTTTTTTAAAAATATTTTTAATTGATTTTAGGGAGAGGGAGGAAGGGAGAGAAGAGAGAAACATCGCTTGGCTGCGTCCTGCATGCCTCCCACCAGGGATAGAGCGTACAACCTGGGCGTGTGCCCTGACCAGGAATCAAACCAGCAACCTTTCGGTACATGGGACAAGGCCTGACCAATTGAACTACACCAGCCAGGGCTCCCGTGTTTCTTAAACTGGCTTGTAGCTAAACAAGACCAGGAGCAAATATCAGAGAAGACAGAACTGGAAGGAAGGAACATTTCTGTTTCTTCACTGTGTCTTTAGGGAAAATGTATCCCAAACATATGAGTGAGTATTTTCTAAAGACCATGTGTCTACACAGCTTGATTTCCACAAGCTCCTTTAAAATCTTCATACAAGTTACAGATGCAAAGACAGTGTTTACAGTTTGTTCACATCCTTCCTCTTTCAATATAAGATCATGTTGTGTTCCATCCACTTTTAACCTGAGGATTTTAAAAATTGAATTCATATTATAGAAATATTTGATACATTTTCTCTAATCCTTACACCCAGAGAAAACTGAACATCAGTTTGTGGTAATTCTTTCAGTCATTTTATATATTTTTGAATTAAAACATAACTCATAGATTATTTTTAAAACCACTTAATTACCTTAAACACTACATCTTGAACATTTTCCATTCATTAATATGTAAACTAAGATTTTTTTAAAGGCAATCATATCCTACAATTTGCTTCACAATGTATCAGGAGTCATGTATGCCATGTACCGTAATTTAATGAAAGATTTTTGAATGTCTGAATTTTCCAATATTTTGCTATTAGAGAATGGAGGTTTGAACGTATTTTGTGATATTGAGTCCACTGATGGCTATTCATTGAAGACGAATTTCCTAAAATAAATTTGCTGAGTCAAATAGTATGCAAAGGGTAAGGTTTTGCATATACTTTAACAACTTATCCTGCATGAAAAGTTGTACCCATGAGCCCACACAGATACGCCAGCAGTTAGGCTGGTTCTAGCTCCTTTACATTCTCATCAATGCTGGCTGGTCTTTTTTCTTTTCACCTGCGAGAATTTGGTAAGCATTAAGGGCTTAACAAATACGAAGCATCTCATTTATTGCATTTCTTTACTAGTGAGGTGTATAATTCTCTCTGCTTAAAACAGTTTTCTAGAAAGAGGAAACCACATTTATCATCAACGTCAAAGAACCTAACTAATGTATCAACCCTCAGAATAGTGGATCTTTCCATCGCGGAATCTTTACACTCACCGTACGGGTATTGATCTTCAGTTGTGTAGATTTCAGACCCGTCCCTGAATAAACGGTAAGTAAGCCAGTGGGCACTGGGAGGATCCGGTGGGCTCCAGGAGAGATGGATGGCCGAAGAACTTTGAACTTGTCCTCTGGGTGGAGGTTGCTGGGACGGAGCTAAATGACAGTGGGGAGAGCATTTATTAACAAAGGCAATCAATAAGCACATAAGTACACTGAAGGAAGAGACGCAGCAAAGAGGTCTTTCTGTTCCAGGATTACTTCATCAAGAAGACACGCGGTTGACCAAGACATTAATAAACAAAGGGTACAGATCATGAATTTCTAAAGCAAAGCATTGTATCTGTAAGCATAATAGAGATTTGTAGGTCAGTGCAGCTTAACAGAAATATAATTGAGGGGGAAACCCCAAAATTTTACAGTAGGCACTTTTTTGAGGAACTATCCAAGAATGCATCAACAGTCATTTTCTATTTAATTAATTTAAATTGTGACATAAATAAGATCCATTGACACTTGAAATTGAAGAAGCATGATGTTGAGGTGTCTGAAAAGGACGTTTTCCATCGCATTAAGCAAAATGCCTCATCTTGCTTCACAGAGCACAGTGTAAGGAAAGGATAATGGTTGGTCATACAAATAGCGATGGATGTTATGAATGCTAAACAGTCCAAATATTAGCAGGAAACAATCTGAATGTACTATGTGGATACGCCAGCACCTTTAGGGGTGCCGGGATGGTAGATCATACTGATGTCGGAGGTTAAAGAAAAACATTCAAGCCAGATACACTCTCACTCTTCCCCTTTAAGTCTTTGTTTCTCCTTTGGAATTTGCATTGTTATAGGAAAAGTCTAACTGTCCGTATAACTATTTAGATAGAGGACAAGAGTAGTTACAATCTCAAAAGGACACATGAAAAGAGGATTATTTCTAAATACCTGATATTTTCAAATTCATGGATTTGCCATAATTGATAAGGTCACTTTGATTGGCTGAACACTGACAGTACATTTGATGTTGCAGCGAGTTTTAATTTAGGGCTCTAAACGCTGTTGCTCGCAGCAGAACCACAAAGATCACAAACTGTCTCATTTACAGCACTCTCTGAGAGCCTTGCCAGCCATGGCAATTTAATATTTTTTTTAGTGATTATTTGTAACTACATCTAAAACTCTGCATGTTATCAGGGGCTCACCAGATTGCAGGGTTAAAGCAATCAACACTGACCTTCAGACCATTTTCGAAGACAGTGAAATACTTTCAGGATGACTGCAAGAGAGAGATGTTTCAGTCCCAGGTCAAAGGGTACTGAATGTGACTCACATTCCACGAAAACTTCCTTGGCAACACACACACACACACACACACACACACACCGATACACACACAGGGCTCCGCTGAATATTTAAAGTTGACTATATGTTAGGACCACCTCCCCACTATCTCGTCCAGGTTTTCGGTGTGAATGAATAGTGCCTGTTTGGCATTTACGTGAGCCTTTTCATAGACCAGAATGTTTAAATGGCCTCACACCCTTTGGGGAATAAATATGGAATGCTGGGCATGCAATAACTTGAGCCCATCCTTTCTGTGCTGAAAGTAGATTTCTGAGAAAATGAGCACATATTCATTCATCAAAAATTGCCAGGAACGGCCTCTGCATCTGCCAGACTCTCCTTCAAGGTCGGAAGGCATGATGCTATGACCGCATCCATCAGTCTCGGAGCCATGAGCTTTAATCTTGGCTTTGGCACTTTGGTAGTTGTACGTCTGTAGTCAAATTTCGATTGGACTCTTTGAACTTTTCCCCATTTACAGCAGGAGGATGACAATGTCTACCTGTCAGGGTTATAAGATGGCGTGTGTGCATGTGTGTGTCCCTCTCTCACACAAAAGGCTAGATCCCTCCAGCATTTACCTTTGCCATCCCTACGAGGTCATTTTTGTCTACATAGGCCCAGGTAGATGACCACTAAGTCCACAACCAAATCAGCAGGAAGGAGAAGAGGAGAGACGGAGGGCATGCCCTGTGCCAGGGCGGGCACAACCCAGGAACCCACACGTCACTGGTGCCCACACATGTCAGTCGAGAGATTAGCGGCATGGTGATCATTAACTACAGGAGAGGATAAGGCCACGGGCCCAGCTCTACGTTCTGTTAACTTAAAACAAGTGGACAATGGGTACTGGGAACAATGTAGAAATGTCTTCCATAGATGAGGTGGAAAAATAAAAGAGGAGCTGGAGAATTAAGAGATGTTTCAAAAGGAAAGAAGAGAATAGGGTGCTTCTGGTTAAACCAAAATGAATAGATCAGTGATATGAAACCGGGTAAATCATCCAAAGAACTATTTCTGGGCGCTCTAACTCACAGTGATTGGCAGGAGCTGTGTGGTCTGAAAGTATCTGAGCATATCATTGGCTCATTGGCTTATTCAGACACAGGAACCATCCCCTAGGAAGCCAGGCTATACGTAAAAATTAAAAAAAACAACTGATTAGAGACATGAGTATGCTATAGTGGAGAAAGTTTTCCACCACTTAAGCCTATGCAAATTTATAAAAAAAAAACCCACACTAATAGCTTAAGTGTTTTCAGAGTAAAATTACAACACACTCAAAGAAACTGTGAACCAGACTCATAAAAGAGGCAATCAATAGACTCCTGAGTGTAGCAAACAAACAGTAAACTGGAAGATAAAGGGAGAGATGGAGCTTAAAGATACAGCAATATGCTTTATCCCATCCACGGGAAAGAAAAAGATGGAACAAAAGGGAACAGAGCCGCAGGGACCTAGGAGACAATGTCAGGTGTGCGTGAGCCAACATTGGTGTAATGGACCCCAAAGTAGAGGAGAGACTGAGAAATGGAGGGGCAGAAAGTGAAATTGTGGTTGCCAGGGACTGGGAGGGATGGGGGGGTATTCACCTTTAAAGAGTACAGAGTTTCCATTTCAAAAGAAGAAAAGAGTTATGGAGATGGATAATAGGGATGGTTGTACAACATTATGAATGAACTGTCAGAGGGAGGAGGGTTGTGGGGCTGGATTAAAAACATGAAGGGATTCAGCAATAACAACAAAACTTATAGACACAGACAACGGTACGTCTGAGGGAAAGGGAGGTTGGACAGGTAGAAGATGGAAAAGGTGGGATACATGGTGATGGAAGGAGACCTGACTTGGGGTGCTAAACACACAATACAATGTACAGACGATGTATTATAGATAGGTACACCTGAAACCTATATGATTATATTAACCAATGTCACCCCAATGCACCAATAAAAAGATTTAAAAAATTATTAATATGGTAAATTTGTTCTGCATATTTTACCATAATAAAAATATTTCTTTTAAGAAAAGGAGAATTACAACAGCCTCTTTGATAAGCAGGGATAAAGTAAAAATGTGAATGATAAAAAGATGGATAGATAAGCAAGGGTAAGCATAAGAGTGAGCCGAGAGTAGAGTCATATCAAGAAGAGAAACACAAAGGATCTATAAATAGTTAAAACATAAATGTAATATTTATAATTAAATAATAAGTATACATGTATGTGTATATAAGTGTATGTGTATATTAGTTAATTTTATAGCCAGAAGTTTAAGGCAAACTGGAATATCATTCGTTAGGAAAGAATACAGAAGGCAGAACTATTAAATACCTGTTTCCTTCCATCTCTTTTAACAAGGAAAATGACTCTCATTTTAAAAGCATGAGAGAAATATGGATGGGCAAAAAGCACATCACACAACCAGAAAGCATACCATCGGAGAGGGCCTAACTGCTTTATCCGAAACCAAATCAATTCTCCCGCACTCTGAAAATTAGATCTTAGGATGCCTACCCCAAATCCTCATCATAAAAATCACAGACACCATCGCTAAACTCTTGTCAGTGGTCTCTAAGGACAAGGAGAAGGTAACTGTTATAACCCCACGGTTCCCCAACTGCGCAGGAAAACACCTTGAGACTCTTGGATTCTCAGGGCAAACACATCCCTGACATGGACGGAGAGGAAGCCGGAGCCTGCGGTAGTTCACAGTTTCAACAATAGATAGCACCACGTTCCTTTCAATCGCATCCTTGAGAAGCAGGTTCTGGCCGCTGGTAGCACAGAAAGCAAGGACCATGCGAAAAGCCAGGGGGACAGTAAAGAAAGCAGCGCCCTTCATGTGTGCCCCACAGTTAGCACTTCCCTGAGCCCCACGTTGACTGTGCTAAGCTCCTCTGAAGGCAGGAATCCTGTCTGATTTCTTTTTTTAACCAACTCCCTCTGCTGATCCTGCGCCCCCAACTTCACACAGTGTTCAGTGAGCTTCCCTAAACACAAACCTAAAAGGGCAGCTACAACATCCACAGGGAGAGTTGAAGGAAGATGTACAATCCTAAAGATCACAATTTTAAACAGAGAAATCAAAATGCCTATGTCCAGGGAAGAATACTTAGGAATATGCAAGTTTTTTTTAAATTATTCAAAATTAGAAGCATTTGAAAAGATCAAGAATGTTTAGCCCAGTGAAGAAAAGACATAACATAAAGTGTCTGCCAATACTAAGAAAAGTAGGCCAATTCCCAGTGACCAGACTACCCAGTTTTGCCCGAGGTAGAATTCCTAGACCGTGTCTCAGAATCAAGAACAGGTAGCAAAAAGTGCAGCCGGTGCAAATATTCTCACACAAAGTTCCTGGCAGAACCGATCAAAAAAATCGCTAAGATTTGGTTTGTTTTAGTAAATGATGATCTACAGCTGACACCCAGAGCAATACGCTGGAATTGATGTTGCACACAAATCAATCAATACTATAGCTAATCAATGAATAACAAATATTAACTAAGTGGTCAGTAAAAGCCAGATTTGTGTGTCGACTATTTATACACAGGCAATTATGACGATGTTTTCTCAAGAGTAGCATAAACACCTAGAGCTATGCTAACATCTAGAGGTACCAATAAACACAGGATACTGTAGGTGAACCACACAGGCACAAAATCTAAATATGTCTTAGTCATTAGCTATACCTGCCTTTCACTATCTCAAAACCCAGTACAGCTTGGCTGGTGTTGTTCCATGTTTAAAGCGCTGGCCTGTGCACGGGAGGGTCTTGGGTCTGATTCCCGGTCAAGGGCATGTAGCTGGGTTGCAGGTTCGTTCACTGGCCCAAGTTGGGGCGCATGCAGGAGGCAACCAATGGATGTGTCTCTTTCACCTTAGTGTTTCTCTCTCTCTCTCTCTCTCTCTCTCTCTCTCCCATCCCGTCCCTCCCTTCCACTCTAAAAAGCAATGGAAAATATATCCTCAGGTGAGGATTCACAACAACAACAACAATCCGGTACAGTTGCCAATATCCCATTAGTTCTCTCTCCCTTCCTTAAAAAGACAGCACGGGCCCAGGCCTGTGGTGACATGTCCAAATGGTGGCATTTCCTAGTACTGTGACTCACGACCCTCTCAGGAAACCCCGAGGAGGACATGCACAGTACACTGTGTGGCAGAGAGCTCCTCACCATGTGCTTACAGCAGGTACTTCTTAGGAATTTTGAAAAAGGCGAGATGTATGACCTTGAAGGAAATACAAAGAATTCATCGGTACGTTATGAGATAGTAGGACAGCAGGTGACCGAATGGAGCCAATTCAAGGAACTGGAAAATGGTGTTGAGAAGTCACAAGATGCTAAGAGATAAGCTCTGGCCCCCAAGAGTTAGAACTAGGAGCATGAGAGACGTCTAAACAGTGAGTGCCAGTGAAAACAGAAAGAGAAGAATATCAAATGCAGAGGTTAGGAATAAGCTTTGATAAATATCAATAAGCAACTACTAGTAGCACAGTGCCCATAAGACATGTGGGATGGAAGGATGTAAAACTCAGAGTAAAATATAAATCTTCCATTTGCTATAGGCAATTGCCTGGAGATGCTGTTGGGTGGATGGGCAACTGATCATTTGGCTTAAGCAGGGATGTCCCTCAGGTTTTGGGAACATCAGGACTTTGGTCGGCTTCTTAGCGATACTATTTCAACACATCAGTGTCCATTTCCCATGAGTAATATAATCATACTAGAGGCCCAGTGCACGAAGTTCGTGCACTGAGGTGGGGGGTGTCCCTCAGCCCAGCATGTGCCCTCTTGTAGTCCGGGAGCCCTTGGGGGATGTCCGACTGACAGCGGGGAGTGTGGGAACATCAGGACTTTGGTCGGCTTCTTAGCGATACTATTTCAACACATCAGTGTCCATTTCCCATGAGTAATATAATCATACTAGAGGCCCAGTGCACGAAGTTCGTGCACTGAGGTGGGGGGTGTCCCTCAGCCCAGCATGTGCCCTCTTGTAGTCCAGGAGCCCTTGGGGGATGTCTGACTGACAGCGGGGAGTAGACCTAAGCCGGCAGTCTGACATGCCTCTTGCAGTTCAGGATCCCTCGCTCCTTACCACCCACCTGCTTGCTACGCCTTACCACTTGGTTTGCTGCTCCTTAGCACTGCCTCGGAGGCGGGAGAGACTCCTGCCACCACCACTGAGCTTGCCAGCCGTGAGCCCAGCTTCTGGCTGAGCGGTGCTCCCCCTGTGGGAATGCACTGACCACCAGGGGGCAGCTCCTGCATTGAGCATCTGCCCCCTGATGGTCAGTGCCAGTCATAATGGCCGGTCATTCCACCATTTGGTCTATTTGCATATTAGCCTTTTATTATATAGGAAGGATCATCATAGTCCATGACCAAATCAAGGAAAAAGAACACACGTTTTATTTCGTGTAATTTTTTTTTCTCATTTCTGACCTAAACTTTCCACCTTGTCCCTAAGCCTTCCTGATGGGTTCTCAGTGGGGAGAGAGAACACAGACCCTCTTCCCCAGGTGCTGGGCCCTCACACACCAGCACTGGGCTGGACGGAGCTCACTCACTTTTGCTGCAACCCCACGGGTTGCTGGCATCCAAGTGGCTTGCGCCGGGAACACAAGTGTCACACGTTGAGCCGGTGACAAATCGTTTACAGAAACAGCGGCCCGTGACCAAGTGGCAGGTTTCATTCAAGGCTCCGGAGAGATGACAATTGCAAGGCTGACATCTGAAAACAAGAGAAGTAAACCGTCAAGCGTTCTGATTAATAATTCATGGTAGAAGGCACATACGCCTACGGATCACATTGTGGACGAATATGGTCTGGTTTAGCCAACAGGCGGAAAAGGATTCTTGAGTTAAACAAACCACCATGAAATAAAACGAAACAGAAAAAAATCTTTTTATCGAAATGCTGTTTATGGTAAACCTCTATGAAGCCTTCTCCTTGGAAGCTAATTAATGGCAATAAAGAAGTGTTACTTTGCTTTCTTTCATGCCACAGTACATCTTATGGATTATTTTGAATCCAGTTGCTCAACTGAGAATACTGTAAATTTTGCTTTCACACAAAAGCAGTTCTCCTGACAGCTAAAAATTAAGATTATTAGGTCCCCTCCAAATTATCTTTTCAAGTATCTATCAAATTGTGAAACAGAAAACTGGATATGATAATCACTGTCTTCCCTAAACTTCGTGAAATTCCGTATTTGGTTTTATAAAGACTACATTTCACTAAGAAAACAAGTGGAAGAAGACACATTCCAATACCGACAATGGGTGAATAAAAGTTGTATTTCCTTTTCTGTTGTATGCACTGAACTCACTTATCCAGACTGGTTGGAAAACAGAGCATTATCCTGATCTTTGAAAAGACGCTAATTAAATAAATATGAAGAGAGAATTTCACTTCAACTCTGATTTCTTGCTCCTAAAGTTGCTTGTAAAAAAAAAAAAATCACTGTTGTCACATTTTTGCTACTACAGAAATGAAAACCTGTTTCTTCAAACTCTTAACCTGTGACAATGTCATTGGTGAGGATGAACAATTTGGATGCCAGGAAGTATTAGAAAAGCAGAAACGGTACCTGTGGGAAGACCACCCGTGTTTACCAGGGACCTTGCATACGACACTCTTAATGAAGACATTATGGATCCACTCCACTTTGTTCTGAAGATGCTGGGTGGACAGTTCCTGTACTCACTGCAACTTTAGGGTGTGATCTCTTGGGTAATCCTTCAACACCCTCAAAAAGGCTGATAAAAGCCGAGGCTGCTAAGTAAGCTGCAAATTTGTTTTATGGACTAAGTCACCTGGGGAATAAATAAGGCACAGTTTCTCTTGAAAAACCGCTGTCCTGTAGTTTGCCCTTCTTGTTGTGGTAAAAGGACATTTTTTCCCCCCTCTTACAAACAACTACATGAAGTCCTTTATGCACAGACATTGCATCAGAACTCCATTTCAAGCCGACATTTTGTTTGGGCTACTTACGTATTAGAAAATTATGCACTGAAATTAAAATGGGATTCTAGAAGCGAAAAAAAAACCACATATTTAATTTGCTCTTCATTTCATTATATGCTATTACTTAGAGTAAATTGTTTGTCGGCGTTTTATGTCACATTGGTGAGACGCAGCAATGAGCGCTATGCCTTCCCCAGCGCATGTATTTATCACCACTCCACTCCTGAATAAGTATCTCTTGAGTATTTCTGTTTTTATTACCATTCACTCATGAGACAATCACACTCATTTTATATACAGTACGTTTAGAGGAACCGTTTCCAGTGTATCACATAATTCCTTTCCTTGATGTGGTTCTATTTTCTGCCAGCGACACGCTTAACTCTTAAGGCAGCTCTGTCACTATCCATGGGGTATTGCGTCCGGAATCTCAACGGAATAAATAAATCGCGTCTTCGGAAAGCGCGCAAGGTTGTGAGTAATTAAATGTGACTATTCCTGATTTTATAGTCTCTTATCCCAGCCCTTGTTGTATCTCACTTATCTGCCTGGTTATAATTGCTCGACTTCAGTCGGAGGGAGTTTTATGTGAATGGAGTTCACAGGAGACTTTCTGGATATGATCGTTTGTTTCTAGCCCAGAGGACACTGGGGATCATTTGGTAATTAAGGCTTAAGTAAAACGATTCCTGTGAATTTCTCAGCCGCTCAAATATGATTTTAAACATTTCCAAGACTCTTTAGCAAATAAGCTACAAGTCTGATGTCATTTTAGAAGTTACCACTCCCCTCCAGAGCGCCTCCTAAATGAAATATAGTTCACGTTTATTAAAACAGAATTAAACGTAATAAAGGAAAAGATGTTTTAAGCTCTGAACGAGGAACAGCAAACTCGGATGACTTGTGATATTGATTTTGTCAGGATAAATGGTTTCTGTAATATTAATATAAAGAAACCTTTATTACACTGACTCTCCTGGTGTAGCCAGAGCTCTCCCACAATCTGTTTAAAATCTTCATTTTTCATCCTTATGGGAGAACCTCACTTGCTAAATGGATTTCATAAAGAGTCATCTGTCAGGATGTATATGGATAAACAATTTGTGATGTTTATTGACCAGTTCATTATGGTAAACAAAGCAGGCGGAAGGCTTCGCTAAGCTCCGCGCGCTCTGCCCGGGGAGTGCTGTCTGGGCCTCGCTGTCCGCTGGGCACAATGGGGAAGAAGTTACTTGGCCTCTGTCTCTTAAATCACAAATCTCATCTATTTCACTTTCCCGCGGAACAAACAATGAAAGAGTTACCCTGCTCCGTACTGTTGCAGAGGCGTCACAATTAATGAGGGGAATTGCCAGGAACTTCGTCATCGGACGAAGAGCTCCGCTAGGAGGTCCGGGGACAGGTGCCAGGAAAAGATCGCTTTACTGGCACTGCTCTCCGGATGCCTCCCTTCTGTCTGGGGCCTCAACGCCGGGGTGCCATCAAATTGACTTCAATGTATCAAGTGACATAAACACACTGATTGAGGGACAACTATGGGCTAGGGCTGGAAGAACACTGGAGTCATAAATATGAAAAGACAGAGTTGGCCCTGACCTCAAGCAGCTCATGGTCTAGTGAGACACTGAAAAAATAGAAAGGGTATTAATAAAGATGTAGGTAGATTCTTTTTGTGATGTTCTTTATTGATTTCAGAGAGGAAGGGGAAGGGAAAGAGAGAGAGAGAAACAGCAATGAAGAGAGAGAGTCATTGATGAGCTGCCTCCTGCACACACTGGGGATTGTGCCCACAACCCGGGCATGTGCCCTGACCGGGAATCGAACCATGACCTCCTGGTTCATAGGTCGATGCTCAACCACGGAGCCACGCCAGCCAGGCAATTCTTTAAGGGCACAGGAAATGCGCAACTCTCTAGCCTGGGGGCAGGGGAGGTGACAGAGAAAGGAGTATTAAGAAGAAATCTTGGAAATGTTTATGCTTAATAATTAAATTGGAATAAACCAGGCAAACCAAGGAGGGAGAAAACAGAAAAGGACAGCAGGAGAGGGTGTCAAATTGCAAGCAATTCAAGATTTTTGGAGACCAATTCGGAATAGGGAGCGAGTGGGGACAGATGGAGAGGGAAAGGTGAGGGAGAAGATACTGCTAAATTAGTACAATTTTGAGAGTGGCAGGGAGCGATGGAAAGGAAGGGATTAGACCTGAGAAGCATTTAATAAGTAAAATCAGTGGGATGAGGTGGAAAACCTAAAAAGAGAAGCAGAGAAGGGCCTGGAGTTCCTCCCAGTTTTCTCATTTGCTGACGGTGGGATGAAAGGGACACCATTCAGCACCAAGAACAAAGGGCGAAGAGACTGCAAATGACTGAAAAATTCTAGACAAGAATTACTAATGATCATTAATGCATAGAACAGAAAGAGGCATTAAGGCAAATTGGAGAAATCGGACAAAGGCTTTTCTTCTATCCCTAGTCCAAAAACTAGCACTCAATGGGGCTCAATGCATTTTGTTGAATAAATGACAATGTAGCTGTTTTGAGCCCTTTTTGACGGGCAGAGCTGTCCCCCTGGCTAATCTCTCATCCAACACTGGCTTTCCTCGACTCCCTCAGGCCAGGGGAGTTCTCAGTTGAGTCCTCTGGCACAGATCCCGGGAGAGCTAGAGCGCCCCCTAGAGGACGTGGTTTCCCCGGGGTAAGATTCCCTTTCATTTCTGCAATGGAGGTGCTTAGTATTCCTTCTTCACAGCCTAACAGCACCCGGATTCTCTTGGCACTGGAATGAGGAATTTGGGGCTTAGAGACCTTCTTTGTGTGAGCTGAAAGCCATACTCACATGGCCTGGGACTTGCTTTGGCCAAGAACATGAGGCAAAAAGAGCAAGGAGGAACCGTGGCAGCTCCAGGCAGAGGCCTCGCGTGTCCTTGCACGCTTCTGCTGTCTTTGTGGGGACGCTGCCACCACCAGCCGGGGCTTGCTCACATGTGGGCCCATTTACCCCACCACCCACATGATAGGACACTGTCCAAGAGTCATTGGGGGGCATGAATCTGTGAGAAACCCCCCACCCCAATGATCCCTGGACCACACCATCCCTGGACCCACGTAGTAGAGAGAAGGAAATACGTGGACATGAAAATGATCTGCTTCCACCCACGGGAAGTCACTGGTCTGGTTCTCAGAGAAAAATCCAATCGACAGCCGTTGGAATAGATGCATGTGAAACGGCGACCGACCTAATCCATAAAGTCGTGTTCACGTGGAGAAAGTTGGCAGCAAAACTAACAATGATCTGGTCACAGAAAAAAAGTGAACTTATTGCATGTTTTAGAAGTCGGAGCCTTTAGATTCCCTCGCCAGCCTAGACCCCGACTCCCCACTCTCTGAGGAAAATTACAGTTTTGTTGTATGTCTGCTGGGAAGAGACAGGAGTGATACATCTGGCCATTTGAAGCTTAAAAAAAAAGACAAAATACAACTAATTAAGAGAGAGAGAAGAAGTCATCAGGGAGGAAACCTTTAGGGGTTGTGATGAGTGGATGACATACAAGAAAAACGGTGGTGGAGCAGATAAGCGGGTAAGTCCCAGGGGCTGTGGGAAGGGGAATCCTAGTTACAGGTCAACTTGGGGACAGCGCCCGGGACTGCCCTGTCACATACGCGTATTAACTACCCACGGAGACGAGGGGAAGAGGGCCCATTTTTGTCTCATTGTGTTTGGTTTAGAAAAACACCATATCCTTTTTTTTTTCTTTATTGATTTTTCAGTGGGCAGACTTTTTTTTTCTTCATTGTTCTCGGTACTGATTGAATCCGGTTCGCTTTATGTGTCAGAGGTAAATGAGGCGATTTCTGCACTTGCATCGGCTTTTTAAAACGCACGCCCCCTTCCTGTCTTGGGGAAGAAGTAGAGGGAAGGAGGAGGAACCGCCTGGGTGAGGATAGGCGGGTGGTTTTCCTGCTTGTTACTGTTGCTTTGGGGGCATTTTTGTTGTTGCTGCAGCTTAGGAGCAGAGCCTATTTTTTTAAATTTATTTTGCCTTCTGGAGTATAAAAAAGTTTAAAACTCAAGAAGTACAGTGGTGTACATTAAAGAGAACTTGGAGAAGGGAAGGGATATAAGTAAACTTCTGGAGGGATTAAATAAGACCCCCCCCCCAAATATGAATGGAAAAAGCAGATGAGAAAGTCCATTTCTTTTCCGAACCGATTAAGGGATACTTGTATCTTCTCCTTGCTTGACAATAAAATACTTATAATCCATTGTAGAAGTTTGGAAATTAATGAAATAAAATCATACCTGTTAAGCACCTACCACAGTACCTGGTTCGAGGTGTATTCAATGGATTTTTAGCTCATTGCCTTTCTTTTTTTGAAAAAAAGTTTCACATCAGGGCATAAATGGATATTTTTTCTATACTGCATATCTGTATACATTGAGACAATGAATTTTTCTCTTCAGGAAACAAAAATTCTTTATACTAGATGGAATCCCATATATTTTAGCCATCTTCGTACATATTTTCAAAATAGCCAGTGTTAGTATATATTCACAATAGCAACCAGAAGTCATCAAAGAGACTTCAGTATCATTCAGGAAGGGAATGAAAATCATAAAAAGAATAAAATCCATTTGTATCTCTTCTCAATGATGAGCAAAAGCATCAAGCCAAGCGGTTCTCACTGTCACATTTGGAAATGCCTTTCCCTGTGACCTTCTGGGCCAGAGGATGTCTTCTCTGAGGATTATCAGTGTCACAGCGGAAAGCGACAGCAGCATCCATCCGTGGCAGAGAAGGGTCAGCTCCCGGCACAGCCATTCCGTGACCGACCGCACCGGGGACACGTCCTCCTGATTGTCTCGGGCCCCCCATGGTCTTGGGAGGCTTTATTCTTGCTGTTCTTTTCAGAGACGCTACATTATATGTGGTGGCTCTTTTCAGGGGCAGCCGTGGTTCAACATCAGAGCCAGCCCCGCCTGATCTGAGGGCATCCGGAGCCCGCGCACAGGTGGGTGGTGGGGACTTGAACAGCGACTTTAAGGTGTATGTCCCTCTTACCTGAGATGGCATGAGACTTTTAATTTCTATTTTTGTAGGAGGTGAGGCAAGTAATGTCAAAAATTAGTTCTGTGTTGGCTCTATTTAAGAACGGAGGCATGAGGGACATTTAAATTTAAAACTCAGAAAGAGGGCAAGCCATTGGCCTGGAGGCCATGGTAGAGATCTGAACAGATAACACTCTGAGAGTCATTAACATGCATGTATTGAGGTGAAATCATACACCTACGTATGTACTTTGAAGGGGCACAATAAACAGGAGTGATCAGCATAAGAGATAGAAAAACAAATCACAGGAGTAAGAGCTTGCAAGTCAAAGGAAGAGTTAATTTTTAAGAAACACGGTGGACCATAAAATGATTGGCACATTGGAAAACCATGAGTCCTAAAAAGCAACCATAAATCAATTTTACTTTCATCTCTCAAGGATCTTTTAAATGTACGGCCCCTGCCTGTCACATGGCTACAAAGTGAATCAGGAACATGGCCTTTCTGGTCTTTCTTAACTTATAGAAAGTCCTACAGTTATTTTAAATCGCAGAGCACAGGTTATACAAAAAGAACAATACTAGGGGCATCGCACTTCTTGATTTCAAAATACATTACAAAACTGTAATACTGGAAACAGTATGGTACAGGGCAAGGAGGGGTGTGTAGGTCTCACGATCAGATGAGGACCACGAGAAAGAGAGACAGCATGGTGCTGCCTTAGCGCCTGTAAAAAGGGTGACCCCAAGTCTAAGGGGACCTGAGTAGAGAAAATGCTGGGTTCCTGTGGGTTGCAAAACTAATTAGCAAACAACCAGAAAAGCGATGCATGTGACTATGCTTAGGCTGTAGGTGAGAGAAACTGAAGGACAGAGATCAGAGATCAATGAGGAACGCATGACAGTACCAACCTCAGTGAAAAGTCAGCTTGCACATGTGGGAGACCAGCAACAGCGGCCTGCTTTGGGGTGTCAGTCCAGTGAATCCCTGCCCCCCACCCCAGCCAGTGCACGAGAGAAGAGGCACATAATAGAAAGAGCAGTAATGCTCTTAGACACTCGATCTTAGCCAAAATGCAGAGAAGAGAGAATTATGCTCTCATACTAACAGAACGATATACTAATGGTAACTGAAGTGCAGCAGCATGGATTAAAAAAATGCTATGTAGTAAGAACAAAAAATTGTTTTAATAAATATTTTAAATATCATGGAAAAGTGTTTTATTTTTAATTAAGCATATTGGATTTTAGTAAAAAGCCAAATAAACTGGTTTGAGTTCTCTTTTAGTAATTTAACCTGTCACCCTGTCCACACTCTAATCGAGGTGTTAATGAAGAGTGTAAGGGCCAAAGGCAGGCAGTGGGGACAGTGTGTTGAAAAGAGCCCAATAATCTCAAACCCTTGAATAATTACCAATTATAATTATACACACACACACACACACACACACACACAGAAACAGATTTGACTGGTTTATGAGAAACACATAGTAGTTGCTTGGAGACAGGAACACCAAAGAATTAATGGATATACTCCCAACCCAAGATAAATTTATAAACTAACCAGGAGAAAAAGAAACCCACACGGAATTAGCATTCCAGCTCATCTTCACAAATACAGCAATGACCACAAATGCATGAAAGTAAATGCCCACAGATATACAGGAAATGGGAAGAACATTAAAGACGGTGTAACTTTGAAAAGTGATTAATTTATTTTCAGAATGTACTTTACACACGGGGGGAAATCATATCACTGAATATAAAGATAAGTTTCTTATCTGCCAGTCTTTCAATCTAAATTAGAAAGGGAAGGGCAACATAAATGGGTGCAAATAATAAACAAGCAATAAATTCGGGGGCCACATAAAACAAAATATAGATATACATGTTACCTATTCAAGCCCTTATATTGTGTGTGTTTGTGTGTGTTTGTGTGTGTGTTTCCTTCTAGGGATATTTCTTTACCTGCCTTTCTCCACATTCAAACTGTAAGTTCTTTGAGGGAAAAGGATTTTATCAAGTTAAATATCCCCAGGCCCTAATATTGGGTATATCTATCAATGTATGACAACCTACTAGTACATATTGGGACTCTAGGAAATAATGAAGAATTACCATTATGTCTAATAAACACTGGCATCAAAGAGTCAAACATATATCAACCAACTAAGCAGGACAGAAAACACTGCATTTTACAAAAGATACTGCCAAAAAAAGTTACTGTTGGTTATAAAAAAAGTCATTGTACATATAATTAAATAAAAATACTTAATTATTAATTCTCATAAATATTTACCTCCCAATCTGAGGATCAAATCCAAAGTAAAGGTCCCTACAACGGTCACAACTTAGCCCAGCGGTGGAAGCATCTTGGCAAACACACTGGCCAGTTCGGCTATTACAGATGTGATGAGCTGCCCCAGCTGTGTGGCAGGAACAGGGCAGGCAGCCAGTAGCATTGCCCGGAGAGATATAAAAGCCTGGAATAAAAAAGTGAAGATATTTTATATATGCTTCCTAGCCAGTCTTTTCTTAGAATGATCATATTTTGATTACATCAAAACATAGAACACTCTATAGGGGCACTAAATGAATTCCCAGTACAAATGTGCATATAGCTGTGCTTAGCTCTTGTGTCAATTATCACCAAAGCGAGACTGAGTCGATGATTGGCATTGTACCTGCTATCTTTGTACCCAGGCAACTAAAACTCAGTGCATTGAAAACCTACTTCATGGCCTTCCTTTAATCATCTTCATTTTAACAAATGGCCTCGCCATCTCTTTAGATACTCAACCTGGAACCCTGAAACATCCTAGCTAGGAGAGCCAATAGAATACAAGGTGCCCAGTTAAAATTGAATTCCTAATGAACAATGACTTTTTTTAGTAAAAGTATGTTCCATCTGATATTTGCTTATATTAAAAAATTACCTGAAATTCAAGAAAGAAGGTGAATAGATTAGCCAAAGAACATGTATGCATAACCCACAGACACAGACAACAGTGGGGTGAAGGCCAGAGGGGAACAGGGGCTGGATGGAGGTGGGCAAAGTGGGGGGGGGAATGGGGATACTGTAATAGTGTCAACAATACAAATAAAGTTTAAAATATCTGAAATACTGTATTTTTGTTAAAACTGGCAACTAGCTTGTGTCCTTCACTTGCCCTGGCTTCATGTAGCTAATT